GTTGACTGTAGTGCTGTACAGTCACTTGCCCGAGTAACCCACGTTCGACGGGACTCGGCCTCCCTGCGGCATTACAAACATTGCCAAAACCTGGGGTGGTTGGAACAAACAATGCGACTCTAATATGTAATATTTATTCGAATATTTGGGTGTACTTTTGTCTTTAGAATCCTCTGTGTTAGATCTTGTTATACGTTACGAAATTACTGCGACCTTTCCTTCTAGTGTGGTGCCGCATCAAATTGCCGCGCAAGTTGAGAAATCATCTGATACGGAATCTGCCACGTGAGGGTTATTTGGCCACGCAAAGCTGCCATCCAGAGTTAGCTGTAAACCGATATGCCAAATTGTCACTCACCACCATTTCTTCATTGAATGCATGAATTCACCCGGCTTGGGAGGGGGCAAATAGAGTCTGGGGGTATCGGTGTTGAGAAGTAAGTTGCGATGGATAATCAAGACTGGTTTGTTGGAGCGATGAGACGGAAAACGACCCCGTCAAATCTTGTGATTTGTAACGCAGAATTGCGTCTTAACAGCCAATCGATGTTTGCGGAGACCTTTATAATTATCCCCTGTTTCCTATTCAAAAGTTTCCTCGCCTTAGAGCTGTATATCGTCTGTGTGGACAAAAATGATTTTTGTTGGGCAGACTTGTCGTTTTGAAGGGGACGCGGATTGGGCAGCAGAAGAAGATTCCAACTCTGAATAAACCAGCCCCCCCTACAAGTCCCATAAATTTCTGTGTTCTTGGTGATGTGTGGGAGGTATTGACCGGAAATTCTTAGCCGAGATGTGGGGAGGTTCCCACCTTACGGAAAATCAGGTGGACTACCCTCCGCCTTTAACGAATCCGGGAAAGGGCCAGACGAGACCATTGACCATCACAGGATGTCCTGGTGATGACCGTGGGTTGTGTTTTTGCTTTGTGTAATGTACTTCACCCCCAAACCGGGCTTTGAAAGTCAGGATTGGACCGAAGGTTACCCGGAATGTTCAAATTATTTAGGGCATTTTTTATTGTGTCGTCATGGTCCCCCGAGTCTCAAGCGACGTGCTGGGCTGGGCAGAAGCAACCACCGTCTCCATCGAGAACTGTACAACTGTAGGCCCGTTTTGTGAGCTGTTACCTCGGGGCAGACGCGAAAGTTCGGCAGGGCAGAGCTGCAGGATCCCAATGGGATGGGCAATGATCGACAGAATTCCTTTCCCTCATCATCACAAATTGGGACTTTCCCGACTTTCTACCAATAGCGTCGCTGTAAATTGACAGCACAAATCAATCTAGATGCTCATTCCTGCCTTCCCCCCCCCGGGAATTTCAGATCGTTCTCGTCCCCTTGTTGCCCACTGCCTCATTCTTGACAGCTTTTGATCTGTCGCTTGGGGTATTTTGTCGGTTTGTGCATTGTAGTTTGACTGTTCCCCTTACTTGTCCTTCCTCCGATTCGTTCCTTCGTTTTCCCCTCCAAAATTGCTTGCGCAATCTCTACTGAACTCCTCCACGCGACCGACGGCATGGACGCCTTGATACCCCCGCAATTTCCGTCGATCTGGCTGAAACTAAAGCTGACACCAGCTCTAACGAAATGGCCACATTGGTTACGTTTTCTCTTCAACCTTTAAGCGAATTACTGCGAACCCAAACGAGGCAGGACGGACAGCATCAACAGCTCTTACAACAGGTAACGACAATCGACGAAACCCCGAAACAGCGTTACAGGCCCCCTCTTCCGTCCAACTCCACATCTGGCTCACATTCCCAAAGCAGCGGTTCTCCCTCTTCCCCTCCGTTTCAATGGTTGTCCTTCGCTTCAGGGCTCTGGCTAATAGAGTAATTACCCTTAATGTCGTGAAATTAAGAGTTCTTTACGACCTGATTCCGTTTTTTGCATAGTAAAATTGTTTGACTAGCGGAATACTTTTCGTGTGATTGCTTGACATAGCGGGTACCTTTCTTTGATTCCGTACGAAGTGCAATTGCAGTAGGAGATCTGTTCATAGTGGTGTATCACCCCTTCCCAGGCTCCCCTCTACTTTTCCCAACTTCTTCCACGAAGCAAAGGGCGAGGTTAGTTGCCGGGAGTATTTCTACCCTTCCTACTGCCTGAGGCGCAGGATCCGCAAAAAAACAGCCCATGGGGTTTCGATGGCTTTTCCTTAGCCCTGGCCAAGGCCATTTGCCTTCAAGGATGTTAGTATCAAACCAAGAGTAGCTCTTCGACGAATCCGTAGGCCAACGGGTAAAATTTCGGCGATTCCGCCCGCAACGGGTATTTTCGGGGCCCATTCCGTGACCTAACGGAATACCCTAGGCTTAGCGAGAGCGAGACACCTGCTTCGCTTTCCCCTCCTCGCCTCCTGGACGCACGTTCCGTTCGGCGTGGCGGATTTGTTCCCCCTGCGTTTCCCCTTCCTCTCTCTCGCCCTCGGCTGCGAATGAATGCCGCTGCGCAGCCCACTATTCTGTTGGTCAAACCAAGGATCAGTGCTCTTTTTCGGTTCCCAGCACGCACAAGCACGAACGAGCCACGACTCACAGCTCCCCTCACACTCTCCCCTCTCTCTCCGAGAGGAGTCATCCCCTCTCGTCCCCCTCTCCTCCCTTCTTGTGTTTCTCTCACCCTGGTCCGCTGGGATTTCTGTTAACTTGTACACAGTGGTAGCATCCCAGAGACATCAGTTCAAAAGGAAGTAACCTCTGTTCGTTATTCCCGTTGGACAGGGACGACTGAAGCCCTAGGGTAGAGTTGTAAGCAGCTGTCTTAGATTCGCGCCCGAGCATTTACGGCGCCTCCAAGGATTTCGGCGCCTTTTTTGTTGTCTAATGTCATGGTTGGCTCAATCTCGCGAAAATCACAATTTCGTACGAATTTTGCTCGTAGCGAATCGCTGCTCAACCCGGCGCGCGCTCGTGTTACTAATTCGTTCGACTCGTTCCGTGGTCCGACCATTCAAGTTGATCCCCATTCAAGTTGCTTAACCAGAGCCGACTCGGCTGTCGTTGGGGACGAGCCAGAGCCATGGCTGGATATCACGATAGCGACGCAATCCCGTTCTCGGAGCATGATGGAAATGCGCCGGATTCAGTCGAGATGGCTTTAGACGGACAACGTCAACGTCAACGTCAGGGTTCTGATCAACACGAAGATTCTCATCAGGAAGCGCGACGGACTCCGTCAAGGAGACCGCTAGAAGCAATGCAGCTGCTGCTAACATTGGACGCTGACGCGGCGGCAGCTTCAGCGGCGACCGAGCCGCGTGACGCCCACCAGTATCCACTAGTACAACAGCGGCGCAGCGCTGACGAGTACGGGGAAGCGAGAAGCAGCACTACTTTTCAGTATCGTGATAGTGGCACGATGGCGACGCGGAACGGTTCCCCCCCGGGGTGGTTCAGGGTTCATCAGGTCGAAGCACCGGGAAGCGCCGAGGAGGAGGAGCTTCGCCGTCGCCGCCGCTTTTCACCAAACCTGCCGCCGAATCCGTCGCCGCAACATCGTGATCATGCGGCGGGCGTTCCGCCGCAGCGTGCGGCGGGTGTTCCGCTGTGGTTCCATCATGATGATGAGCAAAAATCCATGGCGACCGCCGCGGCGGACGGCGATGCTGATCCCGCCATGGCTCGGCGTCCCGGCTTGAGTCATGCTTTGAGACCACTCGAATCTGTCACGGTCAGTGATCCGGACTTGAGACGCCATGATGACGATCGTGATCTTGGAACCATGGCGGAGCATTCGTTGATGACTCGGAGTCGGAGCCTTCAAAGCGGACAGCGTCACGCTGATACTAGAACCACGCCCGGCCCGGGGCCGCCACCTGCACCGCCGCCGTCGCCAGTCGAAATGCAATCATGGTTCGCTTCCGCCGCGGCGTTGGCGGCATCCGCGGCGGTTTTCACGCGACAGAGCCTGCAGTTTCTGCAGCAGACCGATACGCCTCACCCTGCGCCACCCGCCGCGCCACCCGCCGCGCCACCCGCCGCGTATCCCGCCGCTTTTTCCGCGCCCGCACCGTTTCCTCTCGTGCCGGCCGCAGCCGCGGCGAGATATCGCACGGAGATGGCCCCCGCGGCGCCATTTTCGTCGCCGGCGATCGCGGCGGGCGCCGCGGCCGCGCCGTTTTCGTCCCCTGCATCGACGGCGCTATGGAGCGCATTGGCGCAACGACTCGCGTCGGCGCAGCAGCAGCAGCACCCGCAGCACCAGCAGCCACTCTCGTCGCCGGAACAGCTGCAACTGTCGCCCGTCCTCGCAACCGCCGCATCTCCCAGCGGCGACGGCGGCAGCGGTCGCAGAGGCGACGACGCGGGCTCGCAAGGAGTCGCAGCCGTGCGACCGCCGCCCAGTGGGCGACCGCCGGGTGACAGCGGCGAACCGTCGCTTGAGCTGAGCGACTGGCTTACGAGGATCACGAGGATTCCTGATCCGTTGGCGCGCGCGCCAGGCGGAAACGTACGGAAAAGAGGCGGCGTAGGGCTAGGAGGAGAGGGCGGAAGGGGAAGGGGAAGTGCGGGGGGTGGCGGATGGGGCGGGGAAGCGGGGGGAGCACTTCCGCGGGAGCAAATTAGCGACGCGGGGCTTCCCTCATGGCGCGCGGGGAGCTTCCGCCTGTCCCCTACCGACCGCGTGAAGAGCGAGGGGAAAGGGAGCGCCGCCGCGGGATTTGTCCCGTCTCCGCGTGAGCTCCCCGCAAAGCGCGATGGGACGAAAAGCGCCGTCGCGGAGCTCGATTCGTCTCCGCGTGAGCTCCACGCAGCACAGGGCGCAGTGAGTGCGGGAGGATTTCGTGCGGGCGGCGGAAGCGCGGGTGGCGCGGCCGCGGGTGGAGCGATCTCGGGGGGTTTTTGTGCGGGTGGCGCGAGCACGAGCGCGGGCGCTGGCGGAACGAGCACGGGAGGAGGCACGGAACGGAGCAGCGACCGATCCATGGACGTCGAACCTGACGCGACTGCTGCGTCGACAGCTGTGATGCCCGGAGGTTCTAGCTTTGAGGCGCCTCAAACGTCGACTGCAGCCATGGCAGGCTCTAGATCTAGAGCCCCACCAGCAGTACCAGCAGCAATCCGAGAACCAACGTCCCCTGCTGTTCAATTCGCTGCTGAGGGGGTAGCCGCCGCTGCCGCGGCTGCTGCTGCTGCTGCAGCTGCAAGTGCTGCGGGTTCTGGTGGTGCTGCTCATGCCACCACTGATGCCATGGTCATTGCTGCTGGGTTGGCAGCAGGCTCGGAATCTTTTGGTTCGGGAGAGGTCCGGTCGCCCCCAGGCCTCGCCCAGCAGCGGCTGTTCAGCCTCGGAGGGTCTTCCATATCTCCCCTGCTTGACTCAACCACCTGGCCTCACCTTGGTGCGGCGGAGAACCGACCCTGGATCCGAGGTTCTGGGCCGCATGAGTGCAAGGTCTGCCACATGCGGTTTCCAACCCTGCATGCTTTGGGCGGGCACCAAAACGGGCACCGGGAATTACGGCTGCAGCGGCAGAAAGAAAAGGCAGCAAAGGCAGCAGCGGCTGCTGCTGCTGGTTCTGGTCCTGGTGCTGGCGCCCGTGTTACTGCTGGTGGTGGAAGTGGCGGTGCTGCTGGTAAGGGGAGCGGGGAGAGGAGGAGCAGGGCGAGAAAGCAGCAGGGCGAGAGCGCTGTTCCTGTCGCGAGGCAGGGAGACGGCAGAGCCGAAGGGAAACGGGAAGAATCAGTAACCAAAGCAGGGAAGGAAGGGGAGAAAGCCACAGCGAAGACGGTAGATGCAGCGCAAGCGCAAGACGATTCTCAGACGCACGATGTTTCACCTCAGATGCAAGATGTTTCACCTCGGATGCAAGATGTTTCACCTCGGATGCTCTACTCCTCGACAAGGCGTGACACTGACACTCTGCGCAGGCAGGACACGCGGCCAAAGCAAGGCACACCACAGAAGCAGGAGGCTGAGAGGAGGGTGCGAGAGGCACTCAAGTGGAAGGACGAGAAGGTGGAGGGTGCGCATGCAGGCGTAGCGGCAGGCAGTGGCAGCAGCAGTGGCAGTGGCAGGGACAAGCATGACAAGCATGACAAGCATGACAAGCCCATGGCTGGTGCCGGTAGCGGTGCTGGTAGTGGTGCTGGTAGCGGTGGCAGTGGTGGCGGCAGTGGTGGTAAGGGAAGGCCCATGGCTAGCGTGACTGTACAATGCGACATTAGTGCTGCAGACGCACCTGCAGCAGGGGCTGGGATCTCTGCTGGTAACCCTCTCAGTGGGGGAGAATGCTCTACTGGTAACCCGTTCTTGGTGGGGGGGAGACTGGGCAGAGCTCAAGAATCAAGGCGAGACCGTGTGGCATGGTCACAAGTGCCTGTGGTAAGAGGCGGTGCCATGGGCGCTGCTGCTCTCCCTTTCACCGTGCTTCAACAGCCCGTGACTGTTACGATGGGAGAGGCAAAGCCCGAGCCCGTGGATGGAAGCCATCCGACCGTTACATGGAGGGGAAGAGAGCTGAAAAGCAATTCGGACCGTCCAATGAGCGAGCGTGTAGAGAGTGACGTCGGCGTTCAACAGGGGGGGGTGGAGTTGGGACGTGGACAAGACATGCCGACCAGGAGCGTACTGGAGAGTATTTTTGGGCGGCTGACTGCTCCGTCCCCCCCTGGTGGGAGCATCCACCTGCTGCTGCAACAGCAGCGACAAAGCGAGCAGCAGCGGCAACAACAGCAGCAGCAGCAACAGCAAGAAAAACAGCAGCAGCGGCAGCGGCAGCAGCAGGAGGGAGTTATGCTGGAATCACCGACCTCAAGGCCTAAACGAGAAGTACCTGAGGAATTGACAGGAGGGACAGCAGTTGCCCCTGGGGACGCACGGAGGAGAAGGCTTACAATGGAGCACGCCTTTGCGGCACCAAGAAATGCGGATGACGCGCCTCCCACTGGGCCGTTCAGTCGCAGTCACAGAGCAATGGAACCGCCTCCGGAGCCCTTGGGATTGCCGCCAGCCGCACCAGCACCAGCACCAGCACCGACATCCTTCTCCGAACGCGTTGCAGGGATCTCTGCTGGTGGACTGAAAAGGGTAGCTGACTGTGCTGTGAGTGGGTCAAAATCTATCGCAGACTATGCAGTGCTGTTGAAATGGGCGGCAGGATCCACAGGAAGTGAGGCACCGTGGGCGGCAGGATCCATCGGGGATCTGAGACAGCTGGAAGGCGATTCTTCAGGGGGAGGAGGGCGGAGAGGGGTGGCAGGCTTTAGTGGAGAGCCACAACGCTTGGCAGGTGACTCTTTCATGGGAGAGATCCCGAAGAGGGTGGTAGGTTCCCGTGGAGAGCCGAAACGCCCGGCTGACGATTCTTCAGAGGGAAGAGGAGGGCTGCAATGGCTCCGGCCACCGTCTGCCGGCTCGTCGTCCTCTGCTCTCACGTCTGACTTCACCCCCAGCCAGCCCGCCCGTGCTGCTGAGGGCTCTATGTCAGCCATGCTTTCCTCACAAGGTGGGGGCAGAAGCATCGAGCCGTTTGGGGCAGCAGACTCTTTCAGGGGAGAAGAATCACAGTGGCTGCGTCCGGCGTCTGCCGGCTCGTCGTCCTCTGCTCTCACGTCGGAATTCACCCCCAGCCAGCCTGCCCGCACTGCCGAGGGCTCTGTTGCAGCCATGCTTTCCTCTCAGGGTGGAGGGGGGAACTCCGTGCGACAATGGAGGGCTGAGCCTTCCAGGGGAGAAGAATCGCAATGGGAGGGGGCGGATGGTGCAAGAGGTGAGCGTGGGAGGTTTGAGCAGCAGGGCTGGGTGCGGGGAGAAGGGCAGCAGGGTGGGCAACAGCAACTACAGCAGCAGCTGCAGCAGGTCCAAGAGCAGACATACCAGCATCCTCCCTTGCAGCAAAGGCTGAGGCGACACCACCAGCAGGAGCGATTCCAGCAGTTTCAAGAGTATCAGCTGCAGCAGCAGTTGCAGCGACAACAGTTAGAACAGCAGATGCAGCAGCAGCAGATGGAACAGCAGGTGCAGCATCAGCGGGAGCAGCAGTTAGAGCAGCAGCAGGTGCAGCATCAACAGGAGCAGCAATTGGAGCAGCAGTTGGGGCAGCAGCAGCAGCAGCAGCTGGAGACGTTTCGCCTGGCGATGCGTGAAAGAACTCCGGCCCCAGCAGAGCCTGCATATCCCCCTTTTAAACTGTCGCCAAGAGAGATGCAGGAGTTCGTGCACCTGGGAGAGCACCACAGTCAGGCGTACCGAGAGAACGAGCAAATTCAACACAAGCATATGCAGCAGCAGCAGCAGCAGCAGCAGGAGCAAGGAATAAATCCAGTGGATGTGCATCAGCAGCAACTGCAGCAGATGGGCAGAGAGGGGCATGCACAGCAGGAGAGAAGGGAGGGTGCAGTTGAAGCTCCAGCCGTGAAGCGTAGCGATGGCCGGGATGCAGTAGGTGACGACGAAGCCGGTGCTCAGCTGGATTTGAAGCTGTCCCTGTGAAAACCTCACTCCACTCCACACCACAGTGTAGAGGCAGGTATTGCCAGGCCAGGATGACCTTCCCACCTAATGTAGCCTATAATTATATTTGTTTCCCCCCACAGTGATAGTTCATGGTGCATGGTAGAGCAATGTGTCATTTCATGTACCTACCAGCAGTTTTGAGCATTTTTTTGTTCACCTTGAACAGCCCTTTACAACGACAACATGTTATTGTGCAGCAGCAAGGAAACAAGATTAGATATATATACAATAGAACAAGGACAGAGAAGCGTTACACACATGCCTACTCTGCAGGACGCCTGTGTTACACAGGTACCCAGATGGCAGAAAGTCTCTCCACAAGTGATTCCAGGGGATGGCACCCATAGCGGCTGCCAGCCAATGTAGCTGGCTTCTCAACATCAGGATTTAGGTCCGTTGTTGTCACGCCTAATAACCACCATTAGCGTCGCTTCCATGCTACTCCTGCCCTACATTCACGGGCAGAAGCAACATCTCATCAGATGAGGACAAGCTGACTGCTGTTATTGGCCAGCAGGAGCGCCCTAATCCTTCTTCTTGCAGAGAAACACCACTGTAGACACACCAGCTACCGCCACCGCGGCGGCAGCAGCAACAGCGATGGCACCACTTCCCGTCACGAAGCCCGAGTCCCTCTGCCAGCTCAGCCACCCAGCTGAACGAGTCATCTCCTTCTCGGTGGCGAGGTTCGCTTCGCCGATTGAAGTTACCCGGTTATAGCTAGACTGCGCCTGCAACCTCTTTGGGCCCAGCGGGCGCGACGAGCAGATCTCCGCGGAACCAGAGCGCAGAGAAGACGAGCAACAGAGATAACTATCCCACTTAGTCGCAGAACCGGGAGACGCGGACAAGCCGGAGAAGGACGAGTCCGCTTTAAGAGACGCGCCGCCGCTGACCTCGCCGCGGACGTCGCTGACGGCGGGGTAAGCGGAGGCGGCGATTGACGTCGAGGAATAGGAGCCCGACGAGCAGCTGTGGAAGCTCGCGGACCGGAGCCGATTAACGGCGTCCAGCGTGGACGACGGGCTGTGAGCCACGCCGCCATCGCACTTGGCGAAATCGCAAGGACTGTTACTGGAAGTATTAGACGCTTTAGACGCCTCGCTGCTAGAACGGGAGCTCTGAGCAGAGATGGACTGAGAGGAGGAGGAGAGAGACCGTGTGACTACAGCGGAAATGCAGGAACAGACTTCCGAACCAGCGTCGGAAAGCGCCGAGCCTGAAGCCGAGCCAGAAGTGGGAGGTTCGGAAGAGCCCTCAGGGTCGGCGGAGACGCACCGCATCGAACCGAGACGATCGGCCTGCTCCTCCACCTGCTGCTGCGGCCACATCCCCATTCTCCCCCGCCAAAGCCGCTCCACCACTGCATCTCCCATGACGTGGAGCTCCAAGATGTCTGCCACGTCATCAGGCATGACTTGGCCGTACCAATCGCCCCGCACCTCGCCTGATTGGCCCGCGGACGCAGCGGCCACCAGCGCGGCAAGGGCTTCGGGAGGGAGGTGCTGCCTCCTCGAGCCAGTCAGGAGTCGATCCTCCGACCTCTTCCTTCCACAGTTATTGCAGGACGGCTTGCTCCGTTTGAAGACGGAAACGTTACCGACACAAGCATCCATGCAGAAATTCGGAGACAGATGGCAGCAAGGCCAGACGTGAACGTCGATCAATCCGCGCCGTTCGATCTCCTCCCGAAATCTCGCCACGACTTGAGGACCGATCGCACCGCAGAGGGAATCACGGGTGACGTGGCAGCAGACAAAGATGTGGCATCCGGTAAGGGGTTCTGGCCAGAGCAGACGAGGCTGCTCCTGCACAAGAGCCTCATCCACGAAGCACTCAACATCGAAACGGGTCAACGACCTGCAGGCGAAAACGGAAGGCGAGGAAGCAGGCAAGAAGAAGTGCAAGGGAGATGAAGGTGAGCCAGCATCCCAGTTGAAATGCAGACAAAGTTTGCGGGTCAGAGAGGGAGTACGAGTACGCTGATGGTAGTTATCGCCGGAACTGATGACTAGGAATTAAGCAATCAGTCAAGGCACAATGCTAGTGCATCAATGTCACATGTTCACTAACCTGTAAATCAGCATCTCAGGAAAGACCAAGATATCGCCGTTGTAGGAACCAGGGACGTCCCTCCCTTCACAGACCGTAAACATTGTCTGAAATTATTTGAAAAAACAGGGGAACGTCAAGATACAGTAGAGGAAGCAGAAAGATTAATATCAATTACCACGGAAAAGATTGTGGTACAATCCTCGGGAGATTGCGATGGAAGCATGACAACGCGACAACATGCAAGCATAAGGTCATAACTGACGTTGCCTCACCTTTCTTTGCATTTCCTCCTCGCGAGCTTTAATATCCGCACGAAGCCTCCTCGGCATGCAGTCCCAATCGAAAGAAAACGGGTTCTCCGGCCAGTTCGCGGGCCCCTTGTGGCACAAGAACACGTGCCGGTCGTGAAACGGCACGCTGCCGACGATGAGGTCGTGAGTCTGAGCGTAGCTTAACGGAACCAAAGAATCTGTACAGCTAGGAGGCGAGGAGAGCGTCGAGCTTTTAGAACTCGCAGAATAGTGCGGATCGGACCAGGAATGTCTGCCTTTCGGCATGCACGCCTGCCTCGACTTGGCATCACAAACGAGGAAATCCATCCCTAGGAAAAGTATACGACACCAGAATTCCGAGGACTAGTGCAGACGGAACTAAACGCGTGAGGACGAACTACCGCTGTGGGTGATCGTGGGATCACCGGTTTGCTTGGACTTGAGGGAGCAAGTCATAGGAAGAGGAGCTTTGGGACTAAACTATATACGGAGGCAGGGGAGGGGTTTCAAGCTTCAACTCTGGGCGCACTAGATTGTGTGGAGAGAAGTGGAGGAGGAGGGGGGAGGGGGGGTGGGGGAAGGGGTCGCCGCGCCGCCAGGAGGAAGCGGAAGACTGGACGGATGGAGGTGAGGAGGAGAGGGTGAGTGGGAGGGGAGATGTGAAGTCCTGTACAACGGAGACAACGGCGACAACGGAGAAGAGAGGAAGGACAGGCGGAAAGCAAGAGCCCACCACAAGGACGGGTTGGGGGTTGGGGGGGAACACGGAAGGGTAGAAAAACAATGACGGGTGGGGGGATGGGGGAGTGGGATCGGTTTGGGGGCAGATGGGCAATTCGGGGAGACCAGCTTCTGGGAGACTCATCAAGGGCAGCCGCCAGAATGATGGCGTTTTGGAGCTGATCGTAATCACACCGCCTGCGGTCTACGGGGGTTTGGGTTTGGTTCGGAGAGTGTGTGGGGTGGGGAGCGGGTTATACAGACAGAAATCAGACGGTGAAAACAGAGGGGCAGGCAGATGGTTTGGGCACGGGTCGGTGGTTCGGTTGGACATGGCTGGAAAGCCTGTGACGGCTGCCTGTGATGTGATCACAGCAAGGGGGCTGAGGCTGTACCCGCCTGTGAGAGAGGGCAGTGCTGCCCTCAGCGGCAGCAACATCACCACCACATCTCAGGCTTGGTGATTGAAGCATGCTCGATTCTCTCGGGCAGCTCGACCGGGAAATCTTGCCCTCTGCCCTCTCCACTCAGGGCATTTCTTGCGTGGTGTCTTGACTTTGCCTGTAAGCTAGGTTCGGCCAAACCTAGCTCAGGGGCAAAATCGGGTGTCATCCGTAGCATGACACGACACAAGAATTGCCCTCATGCATTGCCACTTACGTTTGTGATCTCCTCCACCCCAGCTCCCCACCACTCCCCCACCCCCTCCCCCGAACCCCCCCTCGTGTGCCGCAATCCAATCGTTGCAGCTTCGGCTGCAAGCACGAGGGAAGCAAGCTCGCGGAGATTTGGCGCGGGTTCTGGTGCGGAAAGCACGTCTGGCCTGGCAACTGGTTGCATTTGTGCCCAGAGCGACCGCACTCCCTGCATTGCTGTCAGCAGGAGATTCGTAAGGGCCATGTGGGCCAAGCCTTCCCGGATTTCACTGAGTTACCTGGAAACTTTAGGGCCGCTAATTGGGCACCAGCCTGCCCCCTCGCCTGATCGGGAGGCAACGGATGGCGCAAAAGTGAAACCACCAACTGTGTGGACAGTTCGCGCACAAAGATTTGGTGTGTCACCAAAAGCATGTTTTTTGGAACAGTGACGTTGCTTTGGCTCTTTGTGAGATGGACGCTGCGGCAATGGAACAACCTCCCACAAAAGAGGGTGAGCTGGTGATGTGGCAACTGGCCCTTGGAAATAGGAAAAGCTCCTCACCGCGCGCTCCAATTGGAACAGGCGTGGCACAGAGTGACATGGCAAGATTTTTATTTTTGTGAAGAGGCCGTGGTGCACCACATGTTTTGTGCTCATAGCAGACGGAAAACTTATACACACACTTCTACGCTCCATAACAGCATTGTTAGAAATAAGCCAATTTTGGAATATTTCCGCAAATGTGATCCCACACATACAAAAGAGAACCATATATAAATTGTGGAGCTTTCGTGAGAAGTCCCAAGGTCAACGAGACCCACGGGTTATTGTGTCCCACACCTGCACATTTGTTTTCAACTCACTTTGTCTTGTGCGTTCATATGGGTGAACCAGAGTGGTGAAGATCAGCCAGTCTAGAGTTTAAGGTGTGAGCTACTAAAAGCGCAGCACATAAGTCAGAGGGAGGTGACACGTGTCATAAAGTCACCAGTCCTAACCACTAGGACAAAAGGGATTTCCTCAAGATAGTTAGGACGAATTCCTATAGTTCGTGTCAGACTCGACCTTGCGTCAGACTCGCGACGAACCGAGACGCACCGCATGGAATTGCAAGATCATGCCTGTGCACCGCGCATGACCGCATGAGTCTGACGTGAAGTGGTCTGACGCGAGGTAATAGGAATCCGCCCTTAGGCTCCATATATCCACCTTCCCAAGGGAAAGCCTCCCTCGTACCCTCCCTGGAGAGGGAAGAGGTTCGACAGGGCTATCCCAGTGCCACGACACACCTCCAAGCTGGGATAGCGTGCACACCATATCATAGAGTCACAAGTCCTAACCACCGGGACAATAAGGGATTTCTCTTAGAATAAATCAATGTGTAGAAAGGAGCACACATGAGGGTTTGTGCTAGTGTGTTGTACTCTCTATAAACCCATACCTATCTAGCCTATAACAACATATGAATATATATTGACACACCCCCTAGACCAGACAAGGGGAGTGCCTAGCAAGAGACACGCGGCTCAGGGTGGCACAACTAGTCCAACCTCTGAGGAAAGGGTCAGTACCAATAAGAAAACTAGACAAGAGCAACCCATGGCAGCACTACTAGTCCGGCCATAGGAACAAGAACCACAAGGCCAATCAAGATAATACAAGGAGTAATATACAATAAAGGCCCTACTAAGTGATGAGCTATTGGAACTAGACCAAGCTATACAAAGTGCCACTGATGATCTTTAGCCGCAAGCGCCTTTGTAAGTTATAAGCTGTGTTGCCACCGGAGGCCAAGTGGACTAAGCGGGCCTGGCGGCGTTGCTGTAGCTCGCGCATGAAGAAGTACCGCAACTGGATGTGCTTCGCTATGTCTTCCAGTCGAGGCTCCTGACATAGGAGGATCATGGCCTTGTTGTCAGCGTACAGGACCGGGGCAGAACAAGGCTGCTCACATAAACCAGTAAGCAACAACGTAAGCCAGCGGAGCTCTTGTGTTGCCGTGACACCAGTATATATCTTAGCCTCACAGCTAGACTGTGCAACAGATGACGAGCATGTGGACCTTCACCAGATGGCGCCAGCACCAAGGCTAAAGCAGTAGCCCTAAGAGGAACTGAGTGTCTCAACGTCGTCCGCCCACGAAGCGTCACTGTGCCCTGTGAGATTCACTGGTCTTGGTCCTCCTAGCCATAGCCCCATGCCCAATGTACTTGCTAGATAACGCAACACCCTCTTAACAGCTGACTAGTGCTGGGTTCGGTGCCCTTCAGATGTTTGGTCTTCTGTCGCTACAATGCGAGCGAGGATACTAAGAGGGTATGCAATATTTGGACGAGTGCAAGTCATCAGGTACATAAGGCAGCCCACGAGCTATGCGTACTGACCACTAGGCTCAACCGACTCGTCACGGACTGGAGCCGAGAGCTTGTGATCTACTGGCAGAGGTGTAGGCTGTGCGGAGGTTAACTGAAGACCGAACATCTGAAAGACCTGGCGCACCAAGTGTGACTGTGTAAGAGTGATGGTGCACGCTGCTCTGTCCCTAGAGATCTGCAGGCAAAGGTAGCAGCGAAGCTCTCATAGGTCAGTGCAGGTGTGTCTCCTCAGCAACTCAGCCTTCACGGAGGCTAGTGCGTCCTTGTCTGTAGTAGTGAAGACCGGGTCGTCTACGTAGACTAGGATATAGAACGGAGTGTGGCTTGATCGAACGAAGAGCGAAGGTTCTGCAGAGGACAGGAAGAACAGCAGGTCAGCTAACGCAGCACGCAGCGTGTTGTGCCACTGACGGGGCGCCTGCTGCATACGGTAAAACGCGCACCGAATGAACCACTCGGTCCGAAGGGCAAAGGTGTCAGTGAAGCCTTGCGGACGGCGCAGGTAGACCTGCTCGTGCAGACTACCCTGGAGAAAAGCTGTGGAGAAGTCGACGGAGACCAGCTCGTAGTCACGCTGTGCTGCTACGTGTAGTAGCGCCCCAAGAATGGTCATCTTCAGGGTCAGGGCGTAGGTCTGAAAGAAGTCAACACCCTCGCACTGATTGAAGCCTCCAGCAACGTAGCGTGCATGGAACACCGGCGGATCTCCAGGAGAGCACTTCACCTTGAAGAGCCACCGGCAATCGGCTACAGTACGTCCACCTAGGTGGGGGAACTGCGTCGAAATAGGTGCTGGTGGATCTCCAAGATGCCATCTCTGCGTCCATGGCAGCTATCCACTAAGAAGCCCAAGGTCCGGAGGTCGCCTCAGCGTAGGTGCGAGGGGTCGGGATGTCAAGAGCGTCTGGGTCACCCTCAGGGACTAGCAGCACGGAGTAGAGATGAGGAGCGGCCTCGAACAGGAAAGCTAACTCATACCGCCTGTCCTCTAGGATGTCACTGCCAAGGGCAGGTGCACCCCGACGGACGGAGGACAAGCAGGGTCAGAGACCAAAGCTGTGGCATAGTCAAGGCAGCGGGTAGAGACAAAGTCAGCAACTGCAACGACAAGAGCATCAAGACTGGAGACAAGAACAGCCGGGTCGGTAATAAAAGAGGCGAGGAGCCGAGGAATAAGAGGATTAGCCGCACGAAGAAAGTCGGAAAGGGGAGGCAGAGAGACAACAAGCGACGACTGAGGAGGTGACGGGAGAAGAGGAGCACGAAACGCGTAAGAACGGAGCAACACAGGGTGAGAATGCTGGACTGGGGACGCAAGACGGGCGCATGAGGGATGGTTAGACCACCAGCGGGAGGTGGGTACGGGGTCAGAAGACAAGGGAGGAAACACAAGGGGAGAACGAGCCGGGGACAAGTCCGGCGGAGGGAACACAATGCTCTAAGACCAACCGAGGCGAAGACGGGAGAGGCAGAGGCTGGCGGTCGTGCGGGGGAAAACCAAGGAGGCGAAGGACGGGCACCGGCGGTGACTGCTGCTACTGCTACTCCACGCCAATACCAGATCCTTCAACCGCACCACGGCTACCTCCAGGATGCTCCACGATAGCACCCCCAGAACGAAAACCCTCTCCTGCACCAGTGCCACCCCAAGGACTGCCGGGACACGCCACGATAGTACCCCCAGGATTAGCACCCCCGAACCAGCACCCCCAGGACCAGCACCCTCCTCCGCGCCAGCACCCACAGAGCTCACATACCCCTGCAACT